TGCGACAGCTGATGGGGGCACCCCCCCTTCACAGAATGTGGCTGAAACTGTGAAACTCCTCAAAAGGCTTGGGTATCCTGATACCCAGGAGGTTCGAACGTCCTCGTCTTTGCTTACCAAAATCAACCAATCCATTACCAAACGCATGGGAAAATTGGAAGAGACAATCCAGCTACTGTCAAACCCTGGGACATCACAGTCACAGTTGACTAAGAAGAATCTCGGTAGTTTGGTTTTGACCATTTTCAGAATGTGTAAAAGGGTGGTCCCCGAAATGGCTATACTTTAACCTTTCTTTCATTGGGTCCCTAAGTACCCCTGCCCTATAGATCTCCTAAGACCCAATGAACCAAAGCACGTTTTATTGGAAGGAAAAACCCATTGAATAAGATAAAGAGAACATATTATATCTTAAGTCTGAAATGGGTTATGTTATACATAATGGGACTAACTTAAGGGGGTAAGCTCAATGGGGCCTTCTTCATCCCAGGATTGTGGACAAGATTCAGGAGAGCTACAAGGACTTGGATGGAATCTCCGAGAAGCTGACCACAGAAAGTACCCAGGGCATCCTGGATGGATTCTCAGATTCGTGGGGTCCTCAATTCCCATGTGAAGTTCAAACTATGGCTGTGATGGTTTGTACAAGGTGGCGGCCTTTAGCCCCATCCAACTGCAGTTGCAATCAGCATTAATGGTTCATTATTAAAAAACAAGCTTGGCCACAACTATATGGGGCCCCCCCTTGTATTGAGTGTATGCGCCGATGGTGTGGGTCCCCTGCTTTGGTTTCGTTCCATGCTTTTCGCCCATTAATTCATAGCGGGAGATTCAGGACTGACGCACAGCAAACAATATTACCATTGTGATGATGTAAACGATGCGTATATAAATATATATATATATACATATACGGCAATTTATGGGGATTAATGATATCTCACAGGGATACCGTTCACTGATTGAATCATACAAGTCATCAGAAACTGGGGACACCTATGAACACCAACAGAGGTTAAAGTTCTTATATGGGTCATTTACTTTCCATTGTTTGAATGTTTTTAAGGTCCCACATGATTATAATTAGGGCACAACTATGAGGACTCTAGCTCCCTTTCTTCAATGGTTCATGGGTCCAATAAACAAGGGGACAGATATGGAGACTTTTAACCGCTGTTCGCACCTCCCCATATTGCATATATGACATATTGAATCTCGTGTTTCCTCACGCCCATGCAGGAAGGAGGCTGAACTGAAGGAGTTGATCGAGAAGGCTCGCAGCGCGTCAGGACCTTGGTGTCTGGCAGAACATGTTGCGACCCACAATAAATTTTGGATGTTCCCGAGGCTGCTGGCAGCATTCCATCTTGAACAAAGGGCAAGGACATTTTGGGATAGTGCGGCTAGATGTTTTTGGGAAAACACAATATCGAATTTTGGTGTTGCTAGGGAAACGAACTGAAAATAAGCAAATCATTGTTTACATACCATCCATTTCAGGACCATCCAAATTGTATGTCAATCTGTTTTTTGGTCCACAAACAATAGCATCTTGTTGGCTGCGCAGGACTGTGATCCCAAAGCCAAAGGCAGCGCCAATGGTTGCTGCTCGAAAGGCCAAGGCTGCTCCCAAACCCAAGGCGGCATGTGATCCCCCAGCTCCAACACCGAAGAAAAACCCTGCGCCGAAAGAGGCTGCTACCAAGCCAGCCCCGAAACGGGCCAGGAAGTAAAGTACAGATATGCTGCAGCGGAAACATGTCTGCTTGGAAGCAGAAATTTTGACCTCACACGTGCCTGGCGACAAGACATGAAAATAATGCTCCGCAACACTACACTGATTCCAAGGGATCGCAACCCACCCTTCAACATATTCAACATAATGTAACCCCAAAAAAGCACAATGCCAAATGGCCCAAAACATTCTACATGTAAGGGGAAATATTGATAGTATGTGTAAAGCAGATGCATTGTGATCCCTTGGGGCCGTACTTTGGGTGGAACTTCCAGGTTGTTGGAGACAGTTTGTTTGCAAAACCATTTGAAGATACAAAATTGTATTGATGCTGTAAACTGCCACTTGGGCCTTCAAAATGCATTTCACAATTTGATTCCGTTTCCGCACCCTGCAAGTAACATGCCAGGTGCAAGAACTTCTAGAATCAGAACTTTGGAGCTCTTGGCTGATGAAGTGGCTGATGGAGCCGAGAGCTTATACGTTGATCCCGATGGTCCAGTAGTTCTTGACCTTCCACATGTTGCTTCAACTCTGTCTTTGGGCTCGCCTAGGCCCCTGCTTGCCGTTTGGGGTCCTTAGCCCGAGCTGCGGTGGAAGATGGGTGTTCTGCCCAAAGCCTTAGAGACGCTAGCAGAGTTCACCCAGCGCATGGGGAAAGAGATGCCCATAGAATTTTCAACAAATACTGGTTGTCATTGAAGGTCCCCATCAGTGATTTGGTGGTTGGTCCCTTAGAAGGAGATGATCATATTTCCATTCCTCATTACAAGGTAGGGTCAGGGTCACGTCCAACAACGATGGTTGCTTAGTGTGTTATGGCCATGCCCCCCATGGGTTAAGGTATATACGTGGGAATAGAACCCTTATATATAGATGATACCCACCATACGCTTTTATAGTATTGCCCACCAAAAATTATCCCAATATAGGAATGGGATCCATGATCTCTTGCTGCCTGTCCCCCTGCAGGTGACAGACATGGCAAAGCACCTCTTGGAGAAGCAGCCCGAAGTCTTATTTGGTGGTGATTCGTTGGCTTCTGGGGAAAAGAGGTGCCAAGACTTTTGGCAAAAATTTCGTTCGTATCAGCCAACTCATGTGGTGTATCAGCACCATGCGCAAGAGCTCTCCAAAGTTATACCCATCTGTATCCATGGCGATAAGGGTAGAACTTTGAAGAAATCACCAATTGCTTGCTATAGTTGGGAATCTGTGTGGGGTCTACCAGCTGAACTCCGGGATATTTCTGAACATGTGAAAAGGCAGTCCCAAACAAAACACGACACTGGTCGATTGGGTCAGCCCTGTTGCGACCGCCCTGCTTGGAACGAAGATGATTCTGAAACGTGTACCATCAAGCGGCGACGCCTCGGAGAACATGTGGAGGACACAGTTCAGACCCACAATTCGTTGGGAGACTGGGCACACATATTTGCAGCCAATGGATATTTTAATGGGAGTTTTACCACCTTTTTCATACATCACTGGGTTTAACATCAGGGGTATTAAATTTTGGGATATGTGCTTTAGAACCCCCAATTGTCTTAGGACATTCTTTCTTGACACATTTCCTATTCACCTGCGTCCCTTGGTCTATTTTCAACATCGACAGCTCAGCCATCCTTGGTGGAGTCTTGAAGGAGATGGCATCAAATCTTCGCACTTTATTTTACGATGGGATTGAAATGGGTTCATCTCGGTACTATTTCGCTTTGATTGGGGTTAAAGGAGACGCTGAATTCCATGTGGAAGCTGGTGAATTTTTGAGGTCTTATATGACAGTGGGCACGGCCAACAACTTGAAAATGTGCCCGGAATGCGAAGCTGATGACAATTTCGGAGACTGCTCAGATAACCCTGTTTGGCTCAGCACCGTCCCAATGTTTAAATTGGAAGTTTTCCTGTTTGGATTATGTCAAAGTCAAAGCTCTGGGCCGACTATTCCATAGGATTCCCCATTAAAATTCGTTAACCCATAATTGTTCAGTTCAAATGGTTCCGATTCTACTAAGGTTGGAAACTCTGTTCCATGGGACGATGGAGCGCCACCACCGCTGTCTTCTGTTCCTTTCAGTGGTGATGATTACCCAGCCTTTTTGTACAAGAGGGACATGTTCCATATCATAAAACATGGTGTTGGCAGGGAATCTTGCGCATCTATTCTGCTGATGTTAGCATACCTGGGCTACTTTGACGCTGAGAATGATTCCAAGAACTTACCTGACAGACTGAGCCGAGGGTTTCAATGGTACAAACTGTGGTGCCAAGCTGAACAAAAAACTTCCACGTTGAAAAATTTCACTCGTGCAAATTTCCACTTTACAAAAGCCAATGCCTTTCCATATCTTGGTGGAAAAGGGGCTGATGTGACTCTGGTCTTGATGTTTCTGGAGTTTTTTCTGAAGATGTGCCGCCGTGAGCCAAAGGATGGTGACCGGGTTGTGCTGTCAGCAATGCTGCAACTGGTGCAGGGAACACTGAACTTCATAGGTATCATGCACAGTCATGACCTGTGGCTTCCCAAGGCATGCACAGGTTTTATGATGAAACAAGGGCTGCAGGCTCTTAGAGCCTACAGCTATTGTGCCAAGGTGGCCATGCAAAGCCACCGCCGCCTGTTTTGTATGCGGCCCAAATTTCATTCCTGGGCCCATACGGTGTTTGAAATGAAAAAATCATATGATATGTCTATTTCGGAGACCCTCAACCCTGTAGTGTTTAACTGCGAGGCCAATGAAGATTTCATTGGCCGAGTTTCACGTATAAGCCGGCATGTCAGCCCGAGGCTTGTTATCTTAAGGAGTTTGCAGCGTTATGGGGTAGGTTTCCAATCCCGGCTTCGCAAACTGAGGGGACAAATCAGGAGGAGATGAACAAAAATCCAACATTTTTTCAAGTTGATAATGTATCTGATTTTTGTTTCGCTTTGTCTTGGTGATTCCCTCCTGTAGATCTCTGAGTTCCAGGCGCTGATCTCAGCAGGGGCCGGGATGATTGCTTTTGGTGGAGCAAGGGACCGGAGCGACAAGCACACAAATGGATGGAAAAGGAACAATTACGTTTTTTGTGTGCGATTACGTTTTTTGTCATGAAATGACGTTTTTCCAGCCCAAATCAGCCCATGACGTTTTTTTTGCAACGTTGGGTTTTCAAGGTATGTGTATATTTACCTATGCTTACACCAAAAGGCACCCAAATGTAATTGGGTCAATGCACTAACCCCCAAACGCAAACAGATTGATATCAACAGTATCAATCATCATTATCCATTGCTGAAGTCCCTACAAGTCCCTCTGTTTTATGGTCAAATCCCACTGTTTCATCTGCATCGCTTTGATGGCAGGCCAAAAACTCTACAGCAATGGAGGAAGCTGTTGTGCCCAGCTATGGTAAACCTGAATATACTCACAACATGTTCAAATTTGGAAGGAATACATTAATATAGTATTTAAACATACAATCACACATGTGTATATGCGATATATGTGCCTGCATGTATGGAAAAAAAGAAAATATACAAAAGTACACAACAAAAACCTCCCATTTACAAAGGTGAAACACCGGATTTTTATCACCATTTTAGTTGATCAATCCTCCATGTTTCCAGCAGCTGCGCCTAAAAATGATCTGCTCTTTGTACTCTTCCTTGGCTGACATGATACCAAGACTTGACATGCCCCTGGTGATCACCTATGGCTGTGTCGCCATGGGGGATACCACCAATTGATCTCTATGGAATAGTGGGGAAAAGGACGTTCAATCAATGTAAATCATCAAATATAGAGGTACCATGGGGTACCAGATTATGTATACCATATTATTATACGATTTTGTACCATGTACCATATTGTACCTTTATTTTCAAACAAACCCCATGTAGAATGTACCATCCTGGATCCTGTATCCACAGCCCATCAGGTTCGACTGCAAGTGCGCCACTTGGGCTCCTGGGACTCTCTGTGGCAATGTTGTGACGCTCTCATACCCCCAGTCGCAACAATTTCGTATCCTAGAAATAATGGATGCTAATCCCTGTGAACATTCTGTTGTCTGTTAATAAATAAGATAAATAGATAAATGATGCTAATCCCTATCGACCTAGGTCATAACTGTTAATTTCTATTCTGTAAATTGTAGATGTTGAGTCCGTACTATTTGTACCACCCTAGATGGGTCTGTCTGAAAAATGGCGGAAAACCCCAAGTGAATCTACTGATGAATCATCATGTTCCCCATTAAAACATATTGAACCAGCTGTTTTATGGGCATCCCCGTGTTCAAACGATCCCATATGATCGTTTTCGCACACGTCAAGAACGGGAACAGAAACTTACATCACGATACTATATCATATAATGTGTACACATATATATATATATATATATACGTACAGTATTATACAGTATATATATAATATCTTTGTGGGGTGACCAATCCTGACAATTTTGACCCTTCATGTGTAATTACTAGACATGGACAGCTCCAACTTGGTCACCAACTTGAACTCTAAGGATTCTCATGGACTTCAAGACTGCACAGGTCAAACAATAGCCTAATACTGGAAGCCATGGCAAGCTGCTGGTGGGTTGGAAGCAAAGCTATCCTGGTGCCGTGGGACCCGTGGGATTCAATGGATTGGTTTAAGGGAAAATCTTAACCTGAAACCCTTGGTATATATATATATATACCATGAAATATAGGGGTTCCTGTAAATTTTCCCATCCAATTCTGTGACTTAATGGATTCACAAACATTGTGAGTGTTAGATTTTGACCATCCGTCTTTTTGGGATTTGTTTGGGTATCTATTGAGCCATGCCCGAAGCTACTGGAAACTATTGGGTTTGGGAGCCAAATATAGGGATTGCATCATTTTCCCAAAAAACAGGAAACCAGCTTGGTTTGGGATTTAAATATGCAATTCTCTGCTGACAAAACCGCTGGTTAACTCAGGACATGTTCATGAGGAGGAAAGCTCCTGTGGCTACATGATTCCACCAAATCAACCCATCTGTGGTTGTCATGCTCAAGTTTGACTTAGCTGATACCAATCCCAGATGTTACATGATGTTACCAACTGCTAAACAATTATGGTATCCTAACAGTCCAAACAGCTCCGGAAACGGCCCAGCCTGGAGTTTCCGGAGACGCATGAAGACCGGTTCCCCGGTTTTCACGCCTAGCCGCACAGATGGACCGATGAAAAGGGGATGTTTTTTGAAGCCTTCCGACACATCCAGATTTTACAAGTTTGAACGGGCGCAGTTTGAGGGACCTCGGCTACAAATACCTACGATCTTTAGATTTGTTTCGATATCTATGGATATCTTACAATATTTTATATACGTTTCTATGTACAAAAAAAAATATCATTCAAATTCTTCATCTTTGTTACTTTGTTGCTTACAATCCTTGAATCCCCTGTCATCCCCACATGATCTTCAGTCCCATTTTGTCATCCTTGGATTTACTGCTCTGGTCGACTATAAGTTACGAGAGTCACTAGCAGTAGAGTCACTAGCCCATTTCAGCAAAGCCAGGAAGTCTGAGAAAATCCGGGAAAAATGATACAGTTATATAATGTTAATGCTACAGGAATCATTGCCCACGGAATTTTTACATGTGGCTGGATCATCAGCCTGGCCTGCCTTGGCTGGGTTTATCGAAATCCGACTTGCTGCCATCACAAAATGAACCGTAACCTTCTACCAGTTATTACCAGTCAGATAGAAACAGTATTAATGACGAGTTAGCCAGTGTTCCTTTGACATGTACGTGTTTTTTCCGGCTTTGCGCTTTCAATTTTGAAACATCCGCGTCACTGGGGATCATAATCCAGTAAAGCCCTGGTTGGTTTTTTGGGCCTACTCGTTTTGGGGAAAACGTGGTATTTAACCCATGATCAGGTGAAATATGGTGAAATAACATGTATTCCTTTTCAAACTCACCAAATATAGTAGATGATGGCACAAACTGTGATATATGTACCCATCACCACATTCCCATAGTGTTAGTCTCACCATTTATAAGGTTTAAATCCACCATTTTCATGGGTGACAACAGTTTTGATAGTTTTATATAGATAATCTTTTGAATGGTTCATATCCCCATGATCTGATTGATGCTTCCATTGTTTTCCATATGTTTCACCACATGTGCCAAAAGTGCAGTGATTCTCCTTATGCTGCATTGCCATATATATATATGTTTCCATATGTTTCCAACAGTTTTACCCCATGATGATTATTCGCGATGTTCCCATCTTTTCCCTACTTCAATGAATGACCATCAAATTGTGGGTAGATCTCCAATTTTCAGACATACCAGAACAAAAACAAAACGTATCGAATTACATATAATGAGTTACCCTCTGGTAAACTAACATAGCTATGGAAAATCACCATTTTTAATGGGTAAATCCACTATAAATGGCCATTTTCAATAGCTATGTTAGTTTACCAGAGGGTATACTCCGTTTTCGATCCCCATATCCCATTACATCCCGGCCCTATGGGCCGGTGTCCGAAGTCATTGAAGGTTTATGGTTGGGAAATCATCGAACTAAATGGTGGCTCCTCCACATCTTTTTCTATATTTCCCAGAGGGTAACCATTTACAAACAACCACATGGCACCAAGCTAAACGAATTATCATTAATTACTCATCATAATTACTACCCTCTGGTAATTTAACATAGCTATTGAAAATGACCATATATAGTGGATTTTCCCATTAAAAATGGTGATTTTCCATAGCTATGTTAAATTACCAGAGGGTAATTGTTATTAAAGTTACCTGGTTACCTATGCTGGTTGGTGGTTTCAACCGCTCTGAAAAATCTGAATTTCCCGGCCTGTGGTCGATGCCTTGGTGACGCGCGGTGGCACCGTCTTGGCGCGCCGCAGCACCCGGGGGATCAGCGCAATGCGCTGCTGGTCCTGGTGGCGATGGAGATGTTGCCCCAAATCAGGCGAAAATCAGGGGAAAATGCTGGGGAAATCAAGGGACATTGGTGGTTTGAAGTGATTTTCTGGTAGTGAAAATAGGTGGTTTTCGGGTTTGAGTAAAATAGGGGGTTTTAACATTGCCTAAAACTTTTGTAGAAATTTGGGTTTTAGACCATTTTGGACCCAACGTGACCCAACAACAATCATGATTTTGTTTGAAGCCGTAAAACTGTTTTTAGGAGATGTTTATCGACGTCTCGGCAAACATGGTGGTTTGACGATGGAAAACTCAGCGAACAAAATGGGGGATAAGTGCACATTTAACATCATTTAACAAGCAAAAACACGGAAAACAATGGGTAGTTGTGGGGGTATCAACCAGCAATCAGCTATCATTTAAAGGTTATGTGGTGATGTGAACCGGCAACAAGTGTACAGTAATATATATATATATATTAATGTGCTTTAATCAAACATGTTCCGTCTAAGAACCAGAATTGGGATTCAACATGTCTGGTCGCCCATTCGCCCATGATGGCAGCCACCACAGTTGCCGATGGCAGCAACCGGATTGTCAAACATCCCATGATGTGCTAATGCCACTTGTTCGTTCTTAAACCTCCGATCTGCAGACATTGCATCATTCCAGCGACGTCACGACGTGAGGTCGCAACATTATTTCATCCATTGTTGGTTATATCTCCCCACATATCCCCGACTATATCATCATTCTCGCCACATGTTTCTTGCTTAAAAATCACACGTTTGGTTCTGAAACACATCCCACGTTTGACTTCTCAAATAAATACGGTATCTACAGTAACTATTCTCCCATATTTTCCCATACGTTTTTGCCTAAACACCAGGGATTTCCCCGAGAATCTTCTGGACGGCCTTGCCAGGGACCCATGCATGCAGCGGCGGCTGAGAGGAATCAAAGGTCAACAGACCTTCGGATTCTAACTCCTGACAAAGGACCAAGGTGGTGTTTTGTTTTTATTTTCCCAGCAGGGGTTTGCAATAAAACATATGTATCATATATATGGGTATGTCTCAAAATGAGGAGTGCGGCCCGGGAAGTTTGACTAGGGGGTATGATTCGTGGGTATGATTCGGGGTATGATTCGTGGGTATGATTCGTGGGTATGATTCGCGGACCTTGATTTAGTGTTTCCCTGCATCCTCCGCGTATAGTTATTTACCTACACTTACCCCGAAAATGTTTCAACTGTTGGTAATTATACCATACGTGGAGCGCTCTGGAGCTGGCATGCTGTTGACGCTGTGCGTGCTGCTGTCAGAGTGGTGTGCGCGCTTTGGAGCGGGCATCGTGGTGCCGTTGGAGTGCCGCTGCAAGGTGCTGGTGCAGGGTGTTGCTTGCTGTCAGAGTGGCGTGTACAGTTTGGAGCGATGCTGGTGGCGCTCAGGGTACTGCTGCAGGTGCTGCCTGAGGGTGATGTTTGAAGGTGCTGCTGTCAGAGTGGTGTGTGCTGTAAACCCTGCTTTGGAGCGGGCATGCTGGTGAGCGGATGCCGGTGGAAGGTGCTGCTTGAGGGTGCTGTCGAGCTAGCTTGCTGGTGCTGCTGCAAGGGGTGATGCTTCAGGGTGCTGCAAGGAGGGTACGTACTGTACCCAACTCGTGCTGCAAGGGTGCTATGTGAAGGGCGCTGCTGCACGCTGCAGGGTGCAGCTGTTAGAGTGGCGTGTCCGCTCTGGAGCTGGCTGGTGGTGCCGCTGCAGGGTGCTGCTTCAAGGTGCTGCAGTTAAAGTGGTGTGTGTGCGCTTTGGAGTTGGCATGTTGGTGCCATTGCAGGAGCTGCAGGGTGCTGTTGTCGGATTTTTCTCAGAAGCAGCAGGAGGCGTAGTCTAGCCCGTGGCGAATGTTACAAAGAAAAGAGCTCACAAAACACAAGTTCTGATCTTGCAAATGTACCAAGGTTCAGAATTGGGAAGTTTGAGGTATGATTCGGGTATGATTCGGGCATGATTCGGGGTATGATTCGGAAACCCATCTTTTTTTGAATTCAGGAAGCTTTGTTGCTTGAGTCTCTTTTTCCCACCGTGAACCTACTACTACGATTGCTACTCAATGGCTGCAATGGCTCGACCTGCCAGACGACCTTGGACAGGACCTGAATATGAAGAATGTGAAGATTTAAATGCACATCTATGATTTATATCCGCCGGCCTGTCGGCGTCTCTTCTGGATGTTCTTCTCATGTACCTTTAGTTCAGCTACGCTTAGGCTTATGTTCCTCTTCGACGGATTTTTGGTTTGGTTGCCTGCCAGCCAGCCAGCCAGCCAGCCGCACACAGAGTCATCCCGCTCATCAGCCTCATCAGCAACACAGCAAGCAGCCAGGCACGCAGCCAGCCAGCTGCAACTAGCCAGCCCTATACCAGCAGCAGCAACTGAGCCAGCCACCTAGCCAGCCAGCCAGCCACCCAGAGCCAGCCACCTTAAGGATAATGATGAGACTCTGTGCGCGTGGAGAAGATTCGCCACTCCGTGAAGGTATGTGAAGGTAGCCAGGGATCATCGGGTCTGGACACTGGTCAATTAGCTTGTCAGGTTCATTATAACAGGTGAGGCCAATGCAATCCCAAACGATCCCAAAAGAAACATTCATAATAATGATTTTTTGGGGTATGATTCGGGGGTATGATTCGGGGGTATGATTCGGGGTATGATTCGGGGGTATGATTCGCACAAATCGAACTTCCTGCCTTTACTAAAAACTGCACCCGTTAAAAAAAGACACAGCCATATATATATATATATATGCATACTTGTATATCATATATATATATATAATGGTGATATAGCCAACGATTGATTTTGAAAATGATCTATAATATTATATGGAAGACAAAGACTTGGATCACTGCGGTATTATATGGTGGGTTTCCGTAGTCATGGGAGATCCCATCATCACTGGTCGGTTTATTTCATGGAAAATCAGCCCGCAAACATGAATAAAACTAAGGGGTGCCCCCATGATTTAGGAACCTCCATAGTTTTTTCCAGCAGGAATTGCACGGTGGGCCCCCCTGGATAGCTAAGTTGAGTTATGACTTGGTTATCCGTTTGATGAACTAAGTTTATGGAGTATATATGAGTATATAACATAACTAGGGGTCCCAATTTCTGGCAAATCAGTTGTTTTAATACACATGGAAAAATATGGGATAATAGTGCGATAGTCATCAGGTCATCAGGGGTTGGTAAATGTCCACCCAATTGGTTCATATCAGCCGACTAAAAAAACACAGCAGATGCCATAGGATTTGTCATCTGCAACAGATACTGTTTCAAGTGAGGTTAATGACAAATTAACCATGACACATTTACAAAATGAAACATCAGTTTAAATGAAACAATACATAATCCCCCAAAATGAAACATTTACAAACTCCTGACCAGCGACCAAGAACAAAAGGTACAGTCATTCGTGACAGCTATCCGAAGACATGGCCCGCCAATTTGGTAGTATACCCAGTTTTTGGTGATCCCTGAAGCCAGGGTCCATGATTACCATCTCAACATGTTACGTCTTGTACTCCAGTTGCTCACTAGGCAAGAAGTGGAACAACATGGAACAACCATATCTATGATGGCGGTTGTGAGGGTTGGCAAATGGAATAGAACTGTCTTGGTTTGAAGGGATAGAGAAAATATATTGAACCATTCAACCTTGCGTTCACCCCAAATAGAGGGCTTTACTCTCTGGTGATCTAGCCTGGCAATCGGAAAAAAAACATGTCCATAGGAAAATAGGGGATCATGGAACCTCATTTATAAATGATTAGAAACCAACTGAAAACTATGATGACATTCCAATGTGACCAAGTTATCTCCCAAGTGCTCTTAGTTCGATGATTTTTCCAGCGGCCCGCCAAGTTTGATGACACCGGAGGCTAATTAAGTCGAATTGTTGGTTATATATATATATATCCCAGTCTATATCACCATGATCTATCCCCATGATATTCCTATCACATATCCTTATGTATATATATATATATAGATAGTACTATCAAAATATATATATATATATAGCATACGCCCATTATACAGTATACATATGCATAGATATTATATATTATTAATATATATATATATATATCCCATCATATCCCCTGCGGATTTCCTTCAGCATCAGCTTGGAGATCTTATGCTCAACGGATTGTTGCAAGGTCACCTAACAGTGAGATCGAGGCGAGCTCGTCATAGCAAAAGGTTAGTAGGTACCGATACACATAGGATTGGTTTAAGGGAAAATTTACAGGAAAACCCTATATTTGATGGTAAAATCCCATGGTTTCCTGTAGATTTTCCCTTAAACCAATCCATTGAGATACACATCTAACCAGTTGGTTGACCCAAATAATAACTGCTTGGTGGTTGAGCCACCTACCCCTCTGAAAAATCATGGAGTGAAAGTCAGTTGGGATGATGAAATTCCCAATATGATGGGAAACATAAAAAAATGTTCCAAACCACCAACCAGATAATATATATATATATATAATATATATGATAATATATTATCTATTATATGGGATGTGTCAACATATTCTTGTATCATTGAACCATGTAACGTTAGTATATATGCACTTGTATATACATTCATATATACATAAAATAAGTGTACAGTATTCGTCAGTAGTTCTATATAGTACGTAACCGGCCAATTCAAAATCAAGCATCCTTGCCTGGAGATACACAGCCGGTTACCAAGCTCTGGAAAGTAAGATGAACATGCCGCTATTCTGTGGGGTTAGACCCTTCTTTAGCATTCTTTAGCAAGATCCATTTGCCATCGCCCCCAAAATAAGAGCGAGAAGTAAACTCAACCAAGGACAGTATGACGCGAAAACATATATATTTAATCTTTATGGTCAATCTCTGATAGTCCACACAAAAATGTCCTCTTCTGCTGGTTATGTTCCATCCAAATAGCAGAAAACTACAGGATTGGTCTCTACCCCAGTCGTGGATGTCTTGGCCGCAACCAGCAGGTGACCTGTTCGCTCTTCGTCAAATCACCTGGAGCTCCCGGTTTTGGGGTTTTGGGGTTTTGCGATCCCAGGAGGTATGAACCCCGGAACAAAAAACCTCTGGGTGTGTCTGAAAATGGTGTGTATATACTGTGTATATATATATATATAATGTTGGCAAAACATGTCACAACAACGGTATGTTGATAGAACACATATGGAAAAAATGATGACAGACACTGGATTTGAAAGTAGCCCTATTTTGAGACGAAACCAATATGAAACTCTGAAACCACTGACCAGTTTTCAAGGAACTGACATGGAGAAATCATTTGTTTCGTGGCCAATGCTGCGTCAACTGCGTGGAGAGTCTTGTATGTGTTCATGGGTAAGAAAAACATAAGATACATCTTCCTCTGGCTCTTCATTGCTTGATTGTGTTGCGGGAACCACGGTGTGAAAAGGAAATCAAATTACAGACAATGTTCAACTGTTTCTATGGACTTGCAAACACGGGGATCGTCTACACTAATCTTTCTCATGTCTGGCCCTTGGAAGGTTTACCAACCACCTCGAGGTTCAATCTGCCAGCCCACTCCAGTGCGCCAGCCACCAAATCAAGGGCGCAGTGGGACTGACCACAAGAAGGTCATTTCACCAAAACTCTAGAACTGATGGAAATGCAAACGTGTCTCCCATAAAAATTGGCACTTCTGGGGTTTCTTTCATTGGAACCGAACTCCACCCTCTCAGGCAGCCAAAACCTGATCTGGAAGTCACCCTGCCCCAAATCTCCGCAGGCAAGTGGCTAAATTCCACATCTTCATCCATCTCTGTTGCACAACTGAGCTGTTGAGGGGGCCTAGCGCATGAACTCGCTGCCGAACTCACAGCGCAATCAGCTAACTTTGGGGTTCTCCTCCATGGAACTAACTTAAAAAAGGTGCACCAGTGCTGCTTCTCAACCTTTAATCTTGACTTGGTATCCCAATCTTTCCTGGTCACCCTTGCAACAAACATATGATACCATGACTGCCCTGTCATTTTCGCATCTTTACCATCGTCTCAAATGCAATTCTACTACTTCACGAACTTTTATGGGATGCCCATATGGAGGTTTCCTAAAATGGGGCACCCCAAAACCATGGGTTTCAATATACAAAGCCCTAAAATGGTGGTACTCAAATCATCAAAACATGAATCATTTTAGCATTGAATCCCATGGTTTTAGGGTACCCCCATGTTAGGAAACCTCCATATTTCTGTGGACGTAAACTTATTTCCCCAAATAAATGAATACTTGATATGGCAAACTTGCGCGTCGATTGAAGCCCTTTTTGTTTGAGCCACGTTCATGTCTACGTATGTTGTCTCTCTCTCTCTATATATATATCATCATCCTGGAGTAAGTAGAACACATGGAAAATATAACACAAACTCGCTTCAGGATGATTATATACACACATGTATATATACATATCAATATATTGATTCGTTGATCTATGATGATCTATCTATATACAACTATAGACTATAGACACAAATCTATATCTATAGTGAACACTACAGAATAAATAAATATATATATATACTATACTATAATATAATCCTCTCAAGTTGCTTCGAACCCCCTTGGGGACCATTTTAGAACCCAAATATGGGTTCTAAAATGGAATCTACAAGGGGGGTCTTAGAACCTAAAATTCTTGGCCGCTATTCCGTTTTTGGGTTCTAAAATGGGTTCTGAAATGGTATCTTCCACCCTTTAAAAAATCATTAAAACATATTAAAAAAACCCTTGTTGAAACCATCTCATTTCAGGAAAAAACGATGAGGAAATCTGCGCGCCCAAAAAATAGATCAACATGAGGCGAATCAAAAAAAAACTGCAAAGAGCACTCCATGATACTCTACAACATTTTTCAATGGGTGACGGCCCGGCCACAGATGGTCGTATCATTTACTACCTATGGAGCCAGGTTTTTGCCCGCGCTCTTTGCTTCCTTTCTTGCCAAACCATTAAAGTACACCCAAACCCAAATGCTTTCAGAATGTCCCCTAAGTCACCCTTTTCAAACGAATTTAGTTGTGGACTCGTTCCATTTCCCGTGCGACTGTTTGTTTAATTTTATGCAGACATGTCCAACCAGAAAAAAAAATCAATAAAACAGCAAACTCCTACATGCAGTGTTTTCAAAACAATAGTGTTTTTGCGTCAAAGGAGAAAAACAAGGAACAAATCATCACATGCGGAATCAGCAAGCAGGTGTGTGTCGAACTACAGCTGTCCAGCTGTCACTTAAAAAATGGCAAGTTTGCCTACCTTCATCAGGACGCCACTGATTGGACATTTGTTCTTTTGGGATATTTGGGGGGGCTGGGCAGCTATGACACAGAGATGTCACCCTAGACAATGCACCTTGAGGATTTATCTTTGGGAAGGGTTCTGGAATGGTTTCCTGCTTGGCCAAACGTGTGAAATACCGGCTACTGCAAGGGGAAACCATTTTAGAACATTTGCATGCTTAGATAACTTTCATTTGTTCATTTGTTGCACAGGCATTCGTCTACTTGTAGAAGAACAAAAGATGGCAGAAACAGTTTTAGCTGACTTGATTATCACTGAAATTCATTAGCATTGGGTTGTACCTGCCTACCTACCCCTGGAGGTATTTATCTTTGGGAAGGGTTCTGGAATGGTTTCCTGCTTGGCCAAGCGTGTGAAATACCAGCTACTGCAAGGGGAAACCATTTTAGAACATTTGCATGCTTAGGTAACTTTCATTTGTTCATTTGTTGCAGAGGCACTTGTAGAAGAACAAAAGATGGCAGAAACAGTTTTAGCTGACTTGATTATCACTGAAATTCATTAGCATTGGGTTGTACCTGCCTACCTACCCCTGGAGGTATTTATCTTTGGGAAGGGTTCTGGAATGGTTTCCTGCTTGGCCAAGCGTGTGAAATACCAGCTACTGCAAGGGGAAACCATTTTAGAACATTTGCATGCTTAGGTAACTTTCATTTGTTCATTTGTTGCACAGGCATTCGTCTACTTGTAGAAGAACAAAAGATGGCAGAAACAGTTTTAGCTGACTTGATTATCACTGAAATTCATTAGCATTGGGTTGTACCTGCCTACCTACCCCTGGAGGTATTTATCTTTGGGAAGGGTTCTGGAATGGTTTCCTGCTTGGCCAAACGTGTGAAATACCAGCTACTGCAAGGGAAAACCATTTTAGAACTGTTGTATGCTTAGGTAACTTTCATTTGTTCATTTGTTGCACAGGCATTCGTCTACTTGTAGAAGAACAAAAGATAGCAGAAACAGTTTTAGCTGACTTGATTATCACTGAAATTCAGTAGCATTGGGTTGTACCTGCCTACCTACCCCTGGAGGTATTTATCTTTGGGAAGGGTTCTGGAATGGTTTCCTGCTTGGCCAAACGTGTGAAATACCAGCTACTGCAAGGGGAAACCATTTTAGAACATTTGCATGCTTAGGTAGCTTTCATTTGTTCATTTGTTGCACAGGCACTGGTCTACTTGTAGAAGAACAGAAGACGGCAGAAACAGTTTTTACCTGATTTGATTATCACTGAAATTCATTGGCATTGGGTTGTACCTGCCTACCTACCCCTGGAGGTATTTATCTTTGGGAAGGGTTCTGGAATGGTTTCCTGCTTGGCCAAACGTGTGAAATACCAGCTACTGCAAGGGGAAACCATTTTAGAACTGTTGTATGCTTAGGTAACTTTCATTTGTTCATTTGTTGCACAGGCATTCGTCTACTTGTAGAAGAACAAAAGATGACAGGCACAGTTTTAGCTGACTTGATTTTCCCTGAAATTCGTTTGTGTGTGTCACTACAGCTGTTTCCAGTGGGGAATTTTTCTACCTACCAATTTGCCGCTCACTTCACCTATTGGCCCTTTCGTTCAGAGATGTGGAGCTAGACAATATTTGGCCCACGCCTTTTCGGAATTAAATCAAAAGAACAGCCCAAATGCATGCAAATCTCTAGCAAATGCACGTACATTTTCGACGCGGGATTTTGCAGCCTCTTGTGACACAACATGCAAAAGCCACTTTATGTGTGCCTCAGGTGACGGCAAAAGAAGCAAACATGCAAAAAATAAACTCAAAAAACCATGCATTGTTGGGGTGAATGCAAAGGTAAAGGTACAGCTAACCACTTCAAAACTGAGCTGAATCCACAAGTTCCCCCAGTCAGAAATGTTCTTACCATGTACTGAGATCAAGAAACAAACTGAACTGTGATTTTGTTAATTTTTCTACCATGTATCTGTATATAATCCTTCTGGGTTTTTGTGCCGAATGGCATTGGTTCAGCAATATTGTTGCGACGTAGTGCAATCGAGCCTTGCAAATCACCAAAACCACAGTTTCAACAGGAGGATCAAACTGGCAAATGGCTTTCAACCACCGGCTCACTAGGGATCACAAATACCTGCACAAAACCTGCACCATAGATCATCATATGCTATTATAGAAGCTTCCAGGGTTCTACAATGCTTACGGGACCGGGGGTTCTACAATGAATTTTTTTCATTCTAGAACCCTCCGTGTTTATCCCCAGGGGGGGGCATTCTAGAACCTTCCAACTTGTATGGATCCAATGTGATGCCCACCAGTTAAAAGTTGGCCTCCAAACCACATTAGCTAGTTCGATACATCTACCATCAATAGAATTGATCTTCCCGCATCCAGAAAACATGGTCATCCCATAGTGGGAACCGAAACACTCCCATTGATGACGATTCCGAAAATTCTGGCTATACATCCAACTTTTGGCCAATGCACTTGTATATATATATACATATAGAGAGAGAGAGAACACTATGATGTATACATCTATAATTCTATGATATTTTATGTACTTCTAGAGCTATAGACACAAACACATATCTCACTATATATATATATATATACAGTATAATATGTATATATATATGTGTGTGTTCATATTACCAGATTATGAAATACTATAATATATTGTAATCTATTATATATACATATATATACTCTATTATACATACCATCTGTTTGTGGCTTGGGCCCTTCGCCTCAAGCTGGGAAGTTCCAGGGAGGCGCGCTGGCGTTCAGGGTCGAAATGGAAGATACCTGGGGACGCCGCTCGGCGTCAGAGGGCGGTGGTTTCAATACCTGGATTTCTCAGGGGAAAATCCATTGAAAACGGTGTCCCAATGTCCCAATCCTATGGTCTGTTCACAATTAACATAGTTAATGATTATAGTAATGAGGAAATTCTATGATTATAGATTAACATTGTCATTTATGGTCAATTCACCATGTCCAAATGTCCCAATCCTATGTTGTCCCAATCAATGAGGTAATGAGTATAGTTGAGTCCTAACATATTAATCTATCCACCAGTATCAACCAGGGTAGGTTGAATGGCTCATATGTTTTTGACAAGAGAAGTGGGAACTTAAGCAACAAAAAAGTAAAACTTAATATATGATACGGCAACTAAAAAAAACATACAGTATCATCAAAACAACAGGATTTAACAAGACGATTTGTGATTTTGAGCAACAAGAACTGGCAGACGTAAGATGTAGTTTGAGCCACCACAAATGGAATTTGGACTCGAACCAACCAAACATGTATTGTAATCCCTGACATGGGATTCATACCACCAGAAAATAGGGAGTTGAACCGACATGGCTGATGCGTCGTGTCATCCCATAACAAAAAACATTCGTCAATTCGGCAGCATCCATGATTTCAGTTCAGAGTGGAACAAAACAATGACACCTCCACCCAGATTCGTCACAGGGGGTTACACCTGTAATCCTACAGCCAATTCACCCTATCCAAACTTGACCCAGCGTGATTTAAGATGCTGAACATGGTGCCGAAAAAAAGTGTAATGCTGATTTGATCAGCAGGTGGATATAGCAGTCTCTTCCAGGTGGCAACAAAAATGGGCGCTTCACCAGTGTTTCAATCCTCATTCGCCCAGCCACGGTCCTCTGGTGTGGGCGGTCGCCCCAGCAGTTTCTCCAAGGCATTGCTCAAAGCAGCAGAGAAGACCTGAGATCAAGGACATCAGGTCAGGGGAATCCGCGTGTCATATGGATCTCATATTGTCAAATCATACCCCATTGTAGTAGTAGGGTATCCTATTATATCATCATATTATCATCATATTATCATATATTATCATATTATCTCTAGCCTTCAAAAATTCCATGATTATTCCATAGAAGGTTTTTTGTTTGTTTGTATATATACACATATGATCCGTATGTGAGTTGGTGATATTCCAATAGTTTTTCTATAGAGTATCAATCATTACAAGGTGAGGCCCCCCCAGTTATGTCTCTGATAACCCTTAGCCAACCAAGTTATACTATGTCAACTTAGCTAGGGGGCTATGGGGCCTCACCCTGTAGTCTATAGTTGTTTATAGTCCATTGTATCATTATAAGATCCACATGTTTGTTGGTTATGTCCCCATACTGTACATAAATATATATATATATACATCATATATATATATATATCATATATAGTATAGATGTATCTAGTATCTAGGTGAATTATAATATCAAGATGGTAAGTATATTGACCCTATATTAACCATATGACACATTATTATATATGTTATGTTATTAAGCATATATTCTCCATAGGTAAATATTATCCATATTACATATGTATATATATATTATAGATTTATGTACTTAGAAAATATATATATATATACACATAATGTTTTCCTATAGATCCGAATACCTTCTGGGGAAGTATTTATGGTATAATTTAGGTAGCCCAGTAGCCTCAGGAAGTATTTAATCCATAGCCATGATGCTTGATATATCTTGATATCATTTTTGTCGTGGGTTGTCCCTTTTCAGCTGATCAGTGATTGATATAGGCAAACAAAACAGTCTGATTCAAACATTGAGTGGTAAAATACAATATGTTCCGCATCTTTTTGGGGTTGCTATAAGTATTTTGTGTTTGTTTTATATACTGTCTGAAAGGCCCAAGTCCGATGGGAAATACAATGTTTGATTTGTGGCTCAAAAGTCACTTGTATAATACAATCAATATTATGGTCTGACTGATGTGATTTGTTTGTGGATCATATAATAGGAATTAAACATCAACATGTCTACATTCCATTTGGGTGGCGGCGAGTCAGTACCTATAATGTCCTGCAATCATAAATTTGCAATTTTCAGGGGGTGAACATGGATGAACATTGGTTTCCAAACGATTTTTGCATACAATCAATTGCCATTCCAGGAACCCAAATTGGAGGTACCTACCATAGATATCCATAGATAAGGCCTATTTTTTAGGGCTAAATTTCAGGGGATCTACCCCCAAAATATCGCCTTATATGGTACTAGAGTACCTCCATTTTAGGATCCTGGAATTCCCATTGATCAATTAAACCCAACTGTGGAGAAGTATATGGCGCCAGGAGACCTGCAGGAGGCCCACTTTAGGCAAATGACTAATGTCGGAAACCTAACCAATAAACAAAAACCTACCATTCGGGGATGGTGTGTAGCACCCAAAAAAATGTTGATTTTGGGGGATGGTTTATTATTAGGTTTCCCGCATGATTCATTTGAAAACTATTTTCATGTTTAGGGAAGATCAACAATTGTTGTCCTCCATGTTTTGGACCTACCGAAGGCACTGCAAGAGCATCATCGGCACACACCTCGGGCGAAGGTGTCATCTAAAATGGCTGGCAAATCCGTGAACTGAATAGTGAATTTTGTGATAAGACTATCATCGAACTAAATGGTGAATTGTCCAGCTTGCCCCTCAGATCTCGGAATGGGTTTATGGGTTTGGCGAGGGCACCATCCTCTAGCACCAAGAAACATGAGAATGTCAGCGTGAACAGTGGTGAACTGAGAAGTTTTCAAAAAGTTCCGTCTTTTTGAAGGTATCACTGTATTGGTTTAAGGGAAAATCTACAGGAAACCATCTTTTTTAACCACCAAATATAGTTTCTGGTAAAGTATCCCTTCCACACCAATTCGTGGAATGTGGGGCCCCCTCGATAGCTAAGTGGGTCTATAACTCCAATAACTATGGTCTATGATACTTATAATTAGCTGTAGTTCATATGGTGTATAAACTAACTTATAACTGGGGCCCACATTGTGGAATCAATAGAAATCTGCAGAATCGATGTCCCCTCGCCCGACCTCTGGTCTGGGCAGGTTCGCCGGATGCTGCACAGTTTGATGCTGCGCTGCAACTTGCGTCCCCTGCGCCGAGTGCGGCGCCGTTGGATGTGCCTCAAGAGCTTGGCAAGTCATGAAGAGGTATGCTCAGATGGGCCATGGAGTTAGTCAACTAGTTAGTAATTGGATTATAGTCATAATCATATATATATATAGGTTTATAACCATTTATAACCCAGTTAGTAACCAGGAATGGCTAGTCCCATGGCTCATCTAGACTCACTGAAGTATTTGTGTTTTGGCTAGAATTATTAAAACACCATTTTCTTGGGTAATTTTAAACTCAAGTCCATGTTTGGGGGTTGAATTTAGAAGAATTGTCGTTTTTAATGTGTGTCTGAAAAACGACCAACACTTGGCGTCTTGGAATTTACACAGACCCCAACAAACTTCTCACAGCATTGCCTTCAATATTGGCAAAGCTAATCGCTTAAGTTCAGTTTCTTGCGGGCCCAGTTTGGTCATTTCTGATGGCAACCTGGACAAAGCCGAACCGAAAAAACCATGGATCTACCATGGATCTACGTCCCATTCACGGTTTATGGGGATGGTTTATGTTTATTTATGATTGTTTATTTATACCCCATAGGATCCATGTATGCTATATATGGTAACATTTACCATCAATATACCCCCAATGTTAGCATATATACCATACATGGATCCTATGGGTACTAAACTAGTACTAAACTTACTAAACCTTCTCCCCCAAAAAAAGAAAGGACAACGGTGGAAGTACTATATATATATATATATCTAGATACAGTAGGCCGCGGGATTAGCGATTCCTGGCTAGTAACTGGGTTATAATTTGTAAACCACCATATCCTACGATATCCCAATTAGAATCAATTTAATTGATATTTAAATCCACTATATCATACTCAATCATTATATAATAATCTAGATTATATACATATAATTGCTGGGCATGATCCGTCTAGTATCGGCAGTCAAAACCCTACCCTAATAGCTGGTACCCTAATAGCCTATTAATAGCTGGTTGATTTTTATGTGTATCTAAATGGATAGCTATCAAAGAATACTATAATAAATGGATAGCTATCAATCATTGAAAATCTTCATTTATCTAATCTGGTTGGTGGTTTCAACCCCTCTGAAAAATATTACATTTATCACATTTATCGGTCTGCAACAGGGCAGTATCGACAACCCTGCCGCACAGCGCCTCCATGCCTATGCCGCCTCCATCTGGTATGGAGTAAAAGTCCTAATATCACCAGCAGATGTCAGCTGCCGACCTGCGTGGTGAAACAAAACACTGTCGATCTCTCTGAGCCGCGCAATGGGATACCGCAATCGGTAGGACACCAACCAGTGAGAGATTGCACCAGATGAAGGTCTCGTGACCTTTTTGCTCAAATTGCCTTTGTGCGCCTTCAAATAAGTTTGAAAAAGCTTCAGAAAAGCTTTGGTCCGAGACCCCCACGTCGTTCTGGCTTCCTCCGGGGCTGCCAGTGCTGTATCAAACCATTTCTTCTTGCAAACCCAAGGACCCCGATGTCCTGTCACCAAGTAAAAGTCCAAAAAGAGTTGCAGGCCTGACACATAAACCAGCTCGCCTTCACTGCCCATGGCTCGTCCCCCAACTGCACTCCACCAACGATGGAGGGCCTGAACATTGGCTGACCCATGCCGAGCAAACATCTTGGTAGGCAGCTTCCACTCCGCTGGGGAAGTACCAACACTCTCAGCAGGCGCCGGCTCTGCCACCGGTCGAAATGGCGGAGGACGCTGTTGCTCATTCATGGCCTTGCGGCCAGTCCGCAGCAACACTTCCAAAATGGCCCTGTGCAACTGGCGGTGAAAAGTCAGCGCATCAGAAAGCCTCCGCCATGCCTCCCAAAACTCCGCCGGTCTCTGCTGATTGATATGAGCTGCAGCCTCATCGACCAGCCGATTGTGCCAATATGCACATTCTTCGATGGGATCAACCGCCTTGGTGACGTCTGCATGGGACACCACCTTCACCATCGCAATCCGACCAGCGCCCCACTCGCGCAAGATGTCCTCAAGCTGCAGCCACAAGTCACTATGGGAACAGTTCGCTCGCACCCGGTTGCCTTGAAGTAAAGCACGCACTCTACGCACCACCGCGAGGCAGTCTGACCAGATTCGCACTGAAACATCATGTTGTTTGGCCCAGCGCACCGCAGCCAAGACGGCCGTTAGCTCGGCTCGATAAGCGGATTGATTCAGCCCTGCAACATGGCCACCCAGTAAAACCCGATGCTGAAGGCGTCCAATTCCCCCAACGGCAAGGGTGGCTGCCCATGCGGCAAACCGAAGCTTAGGCTCCTTCGGGTGAGCCGCAGTGCCATCCACAAAGACATCTAGCCATTTATGGGACGCGACCGACATGGGACAGACTGGAGACTGATTAGACATCTGCGGACGCAACAACAAGGCAGACAAGACTTCCCATTCAGGCAGGACCACTGGCCACCCGTGTGCTGACAAACATTCTGGGAGCTGCTCAACAACCGCACGTTGGGACTCAGTGACATGGGCCCGACAATCCTCAAAAAACGGACAAGACCAGGCACGGTGGAAGAACCCATCAGTTTGATCACACCATGGACACTGTGATGTAACACCCGGTTGGAATTTGGCACGGGCATTCTGAGTGAACAACGTACCATCCAGGTGGCACCTCAACACAACCAAATCGGCCGGACCATAGGGACGCAATGCCACGCGCAACTCAGCCAAATCCACATGCTGCAAGCCTTGGAAAGACGACCGGTGTTGGACTGCCTGAGCCATGACATGGCCCCACGCCAAGGAAAACCTCAAGAGCAGTTCATCCCACCCCACGCACATCAAGCTGAAGTTACCAAGGGAATCTTGCACAAGTCCATTACCCCCAACCGTCCATCCTAACTTGGTCAAGCGCTCAAACAATACTGCTGTGGGCCCATTCCTGGGAAGCTGCTCTGCGCTAGCATAAAGTCCAAGCATACTCTCGACCCGTGCAAGTCCACCCAATTCCCGTGCATCCCGAATGGTCTGCAGGATTACCCAGGCCTCTGGATCGCCTGAGAGGTGATGGATCGGCAAATGGAGCACTGGATTGGCCCCTTTTCTCTCCGCCCTGAGCCCTCGCATAGCACCTGATCTCACCTTTTTATAGTGGTCTAACCCTATATGGACAACCGAGCACCCATGGAAAGTCAATGGGAAGGATTATCCCAGATATTATGGAATTTTCACGGACTTTCACCTCGCCTGTCTTGGTTCGACACTCCTGTTGTGCAGCAATTGCGTCACAGCATAAGAATAATTTGGACCTGGCTTGCCTGTACACGAGGTGTCGAGGCATGCACGCAGAAAACCGCAAACGAATTGAAACAACGAAACGGATGCACGTGCATCGGATCTAATTGCGAATGCCATATCAACCGACAAGCAAACAACAAAGTATTGCCGGATGCAACCAAAAACAAGTCAGTGTCGTACACTGACAATTCAGGACTTGGCAATATGCAGATTTACACGGATGCAACCCAGTGTGTAGGAAACACTGGAGTCGGATGCAAGGATGCAACTGGACAAGGAGACACGGGACGACAAAAAGAACACCATGACAAGGGATGGTCAAACGAAATTGCACACATCCAAACAAGCCAGTGCAAGCAGTGACAACTGCCTGACAAAACTGTGGTCATGGGCCAATTAGGCTCCTCCAAGTTCAGAGCGATGCACCCGCCATTTGCGGTTCATGTTCTGTGATGCACCTTTACTAGTGTGAAAATATTCCCAAAGCACCTCAAGAACTTTCATGCCACTCCGAAACTTCGGTGTACCGGGAACACCATAATGCTGTTGACTGTACCCAACCTTAACAAGACTGCGGCATGAAGTCGAAGGTTTAGGTGGAGCACTATCACAATGGCAACGTAACCATGCAAGCATCTTGGTCCATGTTCGGCTTTGCCCACGAAGCGTTGTCGGGACAACATCAGCTTCCGGGCACATGTCAGGTAATTTGTAACACCTCTTGGCACCATGGCGAAAGAGAACCGGCGCAATGGTTCCAGACCACAATGCAAAATCGATGTAAAGTTCCAACATACTGACTGCGGGCTGAGTGTAGTCCCATTCCAAGTTATGAAAATATCTCACAACACGTTCAGCAAAAACACTCCCATAGTCACAAGCCCTAATGGTATCCGCGTCCACAACGCAAGGAACAACTGTAGCATGAGCGGCATCGAAGAACAACTTGAAGGAGGAAGTCACAACAGTTGGGGTGGAATCCCTTCTACAAACCTTAATGGCCTGCTCATTGATCAGATTCCACATTTCAAGAAACTTACTCAACATGCAAACATCATGCTCACGTGTGTGACTACGATCCGTTATGGCATCAAGATCTAGACCAAAGTATGATCGCATGAAACGGTTCGCCAAACTGTCAACCTTGTTGTTCATCACGGCCATCCAGCGTTCAAAAGGATCAAAAACATGCTTGGGGTTGCGATGTGCTTTCACCTTTGTAATCTTCACAGCATCAAAGTCACGTTGACGCAGCAACTGCCAAACAAGCATCCAAAGGTCCTCGTGATCAGAAAACTTGGGTATCGACTGTGAACGCAATGCAGAAAAGATTGCGCTCAAATTATCACAAACACTGGCACAGTCAGTGAAAATGTGCAATCTATAAAAATCACGTAAAGCCATAATGACAGCCCAAACCTCAGCTCTGTAAGAAGAGTGATCGTTTCCTGGCACAACTTCCGCACATTTCGTAATCACCTGATAGGTCTCACATTGAACATAAGCTGAGGTGGCAACAGTGAAGCCAGTCAACCCTTGTCCAACAGCACTTCCATCGGTAAAGACATCCTTCATATCTCCAGCCATACGCTCTGGCATCTGCACAACAGGAATAGGGTCACTGCTTTCAAATCTCCAATCTGCCCAATCCAGCTCAATCGGAAGCAAGCCCCACTGCGCAACAACTGTGTCTTGATTGGATAGCCATTCCATAACCTCAGGATACCTTTCTCGAAATTGCTTTGTACCACTACAATGCCACACACGGTGTGCACGACCATCTTTGACATTGCAAAAGGGACATTTGCTGCTGGAAGATCCCTTAGCATAGTGCACCAAAGCGTCGTTAGTGACGTGTTTACCTGTGGCCAAATTCAACGCATCAGTTTTTGCAGCGTCCCCGAGCTTGGAAGTGGCTAAGTGCACTGCAGGAACGTCCACACACAAAGCGTCAAAACCAGTTCTATGAGACACGTGTGAGCATACCATAGCAGACCATGACAAAGAAAACAGCTTACGCACGTGATGTCGACTTGCTGTCGTCCAGTTCATTTTCCAACCACGATGGTGCACGATGAGCCCACCATGATGACAAGTCCAACCATGATCCAAGAAAGTCCGTCTCAAAAAGGCAGTAGCTCCATTCCTGTGTTGACCAGTTACCAACGCCTGTAAAAAGGCAGACTTAATCGTAGGGAACGACCGGAAATACCTCCGCCAAAACATGACCTTCCGAATCAAAAGTGAAAGGGCAATGTCCTCTAATCCTTCAGAAACATGCATGGCCAAATAAGGGTTATTACCAGCTCTGGACCTCCCAATGGCTTTGCAAGCTGCAGACCTCAAGGTCCTGAGATCAGACGGAGTATGGTACACCAGCTCACTGCCGTAACCAGCAACACCTGTCACCAGTTGCTTTGTCATTCTGGTTTTAAACACTCTAGGCAACTTCCTAGCTGAAACTCTGTGGAGAACCCTGACAGTTTTCTGCAATCGAGTTTTGGTGACAGCCTTGGACACACGTTTGCAATAAGAGACATCACAACCAAGCTCGTTGGCTACATGCCGAATGGGCACACTCTGACCATCAAGCGATAAAGGTTGCAGTTGAGCTCTCTGTTTAGCATGTGTGGCCCATGACCAGCTCTTGTCAGGCGCAATCTTCATTTTTAAGGCACAAATAAACTGATGCAGTTTGTCCAAACCAGTTTGTAATTGTCCAATAGTGTCAGCCAAAAAGCCCCAATTGTCGGCGTATGCAATACACAACGTATTGGAATAATCATCCGTACATTGAAGTATACTCGCAGCCCAAGCAGAAAGCGCAGTCATTGCCACAATAGACATGGCACAACCCTCAGGTACTCCGGTCGTTGAAGCCAATTCAGGCCCAATCTCGACACCAATTTCAAGTACGCGTTATAAGCTGAGAAAACATCCCCTGCAATGCAACCAAATACTGATGAGGGATACCCATACGTCTCATGGCAGCAATCACAGGTATCCGAGGAATAAGGTTGAAGCATTTGATAAGGTCCACTGTGAGGCCTAAACGGGGTGTAGAACACAGCAAAGCTTTCTCCACTTCCAGCATGATCGTAGCAGCAAGCATATCCGAACCAATCCCCGCAGCACAACCCGCAACATGTGGAGGAATGAACTGACGGACATGTTGAATAATCTGCATTGACCGATATCTGGACCAGTTGCGGTACAACCTAGAAGTGATAGTGATGGGCCTAATCTTCAAGGGACATGTCGGCTGTTCGGCTGATTTAGCCAGCATGACAACCCTCGCAACCATCAACTCCCTGGGCCAAAGAAAAACACCATGTTCAATAGCATCAATCATGTCAAGCAACCATGAAACAAGAGCAGTTGGCATGAGAAGTAGTTCTCTAGGCGTGTACGCACAAGAACCTCTTGCAGATTTTCTAGGCACCGTCGCAGCATGACGTTTCCACTCCACGGCATCCAACTTTTGAAATTGCATACAAGAGAAATCACGAATGTGATGCAACTCGGCAAAAGCCATTTCCCAGTCCGCTTCAGAATCACCAACCGACTCTCGCTGCCACATTCTCGACCAAGCTGCACCGGTGAGATCATGCATCTTTTCACGGTCAGCAATGACTTTGTATTGCACAACCTTCCAGTCAGTAGTGGATTTCCATTTGACCTTACGATCCAAGATCCACCAAGCACCTTTAACTTCACGGACAAAGAATTCTTGCCCCTGAAAATATGCTGGGAACTGAAAGTCAAAGCCCTCCTGAACTTCTCCAACTTTCAAGTGACATTGTCCTTCTTTAGACCACCTCATTGGCACCACTTTGGCAGTGATTTCTTGAGTGATGGCATGGAAGGGTGGCGCACTAGGGTCCTTGACCGCTTTGTAGGCTTCAGAACCCCCTTTTTGGATGTCTTTCAAAACCCTGCATTCCCTGGCAAATCGCAATGACTTGTTGGTTTCGGCAACAATTTTCTGGACATGCTCCTGCAAAGTCACGACAAGGTAATGTACATACTCAACCCTAGGGCAACCAATTGGGACAAACACTCCAAACTCAGTAAGGATGAAGCTCTGGAAAGAGGGAAAGAATCCTCGTGCTTGAAGAACAGAAGTCCACAAGTTCCTACAAACTTCCGATGGCACATCATGACTTTTCCTGAGACAAGCCTGCAGTTGAGACTCCAGGCTCTGCAATCGACGAACTTGCTTCACCATGCTACGTATGATGGAGGAAGGTTGACAAACATCAGGATTAAAATGACCCTGCCGTGCATGTTTGACAATAGGAGCACTGGGATTGGACAATCGCTTGGTGCTTTTGCGACACCTGCCGAGACATCGTTGAGGCAAGACCACTCTATGTCCAACAGAGTCAACACAAGAATTGCTCAAACACTCTTCAAACGCAAGGTTGAGTTGTCGCAAAGTTTCCTCACCATCTTTTCTTTGGATTGCAGTATGAAACTTCTCCCCTCTCGCAGCAACACATGCATCTGCATTACTTTCCAGCAAATCATGATCAAAAAGAAAATTGTCAGTGGTAGCGGGTAACCACCATCGAGAAAAGGGTTTGATCATCACCTCCAAATCAAAATCAGCCGCAAGCAAAGGATGTGCATCAAACTCAAATTCTTCAATGATGTCGCACCAGAGCAACGACTGAACAAGCATAGGATTGATTAAGATGAAGGACTTGCGCGTCTTCTCCTTACAGGTTGGCTGTGGAAGAGTCTGCCTCCGATTTGCATCAAATTTTGCTGCATCTACCCACCCGGCACGCTGAAGAGCAGGCCATCTAGGCAAGTTCTGAATTTCTACGTTGAAATCACCCATGATAACTGCAGGACCCTTGAAGGCCAAGGCATGGTCAAAAACTTCAGCACAAAGCCTTGACAAGACAGTCCATGGATCAAAGAACGTCACTGTGTGGGTAGGACCATACACAGACGCAACAAACATATTGACACCACCGCCAATGTTGACAACGCCTTCAACAAGACGAGATGACAAGTCGGCCAGGGAGGACAACATACTGGGATAGGGCTTCAACTTCAAATGCGAAACTAAGCAAGTGCCGGAAGCACGACCCCGCATGAGGCCTGCATTGTTGGTATGTTTGGCAACGGGAGGGCTCCATCTGGAAAACAATCCGGCTTTGCGAAACCTAGCTGAAGATACCCGCATAGCATCAACAGTGTGTGAAGTTTCAGCACCCCCCCAAATCCCTTCACCCCACTCTGCAATCACCTCTTCCTTATTGTACAACTGGTGAGGGTTAAATGAGCCAACACGCAAGGGTCCTGGATTGTCAGCTTCACCAACTCTGCACAAGTTACGCTTGGAACACAACGGGTCTGAAAAAACCCATCTCTTGGCATTCACTGCAGGAAAATCAAATTCTGTCCCCTGGTCAGGACACACATGCAGCACATCATCCCAAAATGGGGCATTCAGTTGTTCAAGGTCAGAGCTGTTATGAAAACAACATGCACTGGACACGCACATCATGGCAAGGACGATGGATCTAAGGCAGACGCTAGAAAACATCCTTGCTTGCTTTCCCTGCCTTCCCCGTCAACTTTTGGTCGCAAAGCTGTCGGCACGTCCTGGCTGATCAGTCCTGCTGCGCTTTCCATCATCACCAACCGAGCTCTGACCCATCCATTGTTTAACGTTTGTTTCCAAACTGGCCATCATTTGCTGCATAGTCGCAATGACAGTCTGACCACTGTGCACTACAGACTGTTCTACCTCACCAATTTTCTGACGAGCAAAGGCCTGCTCATCTCGCACCTGTTGCAGTTCAGAACGGGCTTCTTCATCTTTCCGCTGCTGTGCAATCTGAAAGTTCTCCAACTGCGAGGACAACATGGCAATCTTTTCATTTGCGGCTTGCATTTTCATCTCAAGTTGCTCGCTGATCTCAGCTTTGACTTCTTGAATTCTGGTCGATGCCGCAATCTGAACATTGCCATTGGTAGTATTGACCAAAGTGTCAACTTTGACTTGCTTGGCAGTGATAGTAACAGCATTGCCATCTCTGTGTCTTTTGACAGGTTCCACCAAAACATATGACCCATTGATGCAGAAATGTTTCGATTCTGGGGTGTCGCGGGCAGCAACCAACCAACGATTCTGCCCTTGGGCCCGGATAGGTTGGGCATCCCAACCAGCTCTTTGCAAAGCATCAAGCAGACCTTCCTTACCTACCTCAGCTGGCATGTTTTTCAAAACCCACATGGTTTCATCGGCTTTGATACCTGCAGTGTCTACGAATGCAGACTCGGGTAGGAGAATGGCTCTGAGGGATGATGAGTACTCACGTCTGCATCGAATGCCAAATTGATCACGCAATCTCACGACTCCAAGTGCTTTTTCTTGTGCAGCTGCCTTCTTTTGAACTTCCGTGAGCCCACAATCAGGCATGGCAATGACAGCAAAACGGTCGTCATGCCTGCGGTTGCCATCCTTTGGGGAGACATAGATGCCAGCATATCCCGATCGACACAAGACCTGATCAAGGATATCATCTGGGACACGAATGAAACCATGCCAGTAATCAGCTTCTTTGAAGGGTGATGGTTGCCTGGTACTTTTCCAAGTCTTCATGGACCAAGTAGAAATCAGACTAGACCCTCGAACAGCAGAAATGTGAACTCCCAAATAATGCAAAGGCACGGAGCATTCTTTCCAGGAACCCACCTCACTTTTGTAAATGTGCAATTCAACTACTGTCGACGCAGCACATGCAACATCAGCACATGGGACGGCAGGTTGAAAGGAAACCTCCCGATCACCAAACTGTCGGAGGGCAGCTTGGATGACAACAGGCTCACCACGCATAGTGACAGCTGGCATATTGAAGGGAGCATCGGCAGCACCAAATTTTTTGCCAACAATCAGCACAGCAAGCGCATCAACACTCATGGATGACCCCTGTGGGTGTCTTTCAGCCTCCTCCAAACTCATCACAGCCAGACCCCTTTGATCAGGTCCAAACCTGGCAGTCTCAATCATTTCGATACTGTCATCACCATCTTTGAAGTGCTTGATGTCAATCACAACGCTTGAAGAGTTGGGAATGAAATCACCATGTGCACCTGCAGTCTTGGTCTTTCGAGCCTGCTTGGAGGGTGGCTTCCTACGACCATCAATCTTTGCCTGCTGCATTTCATTTCTGAAGACAAGTCGGAAGTTCACTCGGTTTGCCTCAGTTTTCATAGCAGCCCAAAAGTCATCATCCGTCCCTGATTCAGCCTTGGCAATGGTTTCGAAATCGGCCTTGGACAACAAGGATCCCGCTCTATCATTGCAAGCGTCCTTAGAGACACCATGTTGCTCTAGCACTTTGACAACCCTGGCTTTGATGGTATCGGCTTTTTTGGCACCCCCCAAAAGAGGAGCAACTTTGAAACAAATGACATGCTGTGTGGAAACTTGGCTGAGACAAATTGAAGGATCTGTCAAAATCCCATCAACATGGCAAGTCATGTTCAAATCAAGCTGTGCATGTGCAACAAATGAGGCAGCCACCTGCATGAGCGTGATACTCTCATCAGTGCGAAGGATCTGCGCTTTCGTACGAAATGGTGACTTCACCCAACGTTGGGGACTGGCATGGTGCTTAACTTGCATCTGGGCAGCATCAATGGGCAAAAGGAGACACAATGCACTGACTGCAGAAGGCGGCAACGGCTTGAAGCAGTCCCATTCCACATCAAATGTAGTGTGCTTATCAACCGGTTGTTCAACACTGCACGGTGTTCCTTGCACATGCACAGTCCAGGTGATGGTACCACACAAATCAGGAAAAAGGATTCGAACCACAGCAGCAATTGGGGATCCGACTGGCACACAGGCAGTTCTGATCACTTTGAAAGCCGGATGTTTTGCGACAAAACGCACACAGCCATCATGTGCAGGGATCATACCCTTTTCTTGCAATTTGTGGTCCACTGCAGCAAAAGCAACATACCCTGGCAGACACGCTTGAAAGGAAACTTGAAAGGTTTGCATGGGAAATTCCGTGACAAAATCACATGCCTTGGTGGGAATACCATTGTAACCAACCTTCAGGATATCCACATTACACTTGAGTTTCGCAGCAAGGAATGCCATGAGAGTCCGAATGGTCCATGTCACATCACCATTCATTTCAATCATGCTACCATCCGGCAACACACACTCAACTGTGAACACAAGAGGTCGAAAAAGAATGGTTGCAGGCGGTGCACAAGTGACGTTGTCATGCCATTGAATCTCACGACCCATCCACAGAAAATGCTCAAAATGGGTTTTCTTGGCATGTGGAAGTGCCCGTCCAATGAGTTGGTCCAACGCTTCATCCACCGCCCCGTGGACAACTACCATCCAATTGTGTTGGTGATGCTTGAGGAACGCAAGCCCTCCTTTGCAAAAGCTGTGCAAGGAACCATCAAACTTTTCAATTGCAAAGACACAGTTCTCACTCATCGGAGCAGTACAAACAGCTTGACAATCTACCTCAGCAACGAAAGGAATGGTAGCTGACACATCTTTTTCTACTTCGCTGGACTGCCTTGAGCGCTTCACCTGCACTGGCAAATCATCCTCAAAGCACACGTCCCTGAGCTTGGAAAAAACACCGTCGACAAAGGGTTCAAAAGCAGATAAACGAATGCACTGCTCCCTAATCCTCTTCAGTACTGCCAACACATCAGCATCAACGGAAAACATGGACAGATGACCCAACAACATATGCGTCTTGGAAAGCTGAATCCATGCATGAATCGGGCTGATGGAATTCCCAACCTGTTGAAAGGCATCAGTCAAATCAGCTGCAATCACAACTTTCGAAGGAAAGCCTAGAGCAGCCAGAATTTCCCATGGGCAGAAAAAGCGGATTTTTCCATTCTCCTTCACTACAACTGTCTGCAAGCCCTTGGACAGCAAAAGGTCAATTGGCAACAAATGCTGACTCCCATACCTGGCCATAACCCCACTCATCTTCATGTCAGGCGTGACAATTCTAGCAGACAGGACGGGTTCATCGAGAGACCAGTTGATCTTGGAGGCAAGCCACTTGGGGACAAGGTCACTTCTTTTCAGCATTTCCAAGGCAGCATCATTCAACAACAAATGATTACGCAAATCGGATGTTGAGGCCGGATGCAAGGAATCGGATGCAAGCAGGGAGGGACCAGGCATTGGAAAACACAAGCTACCGGAAGCTAATGAAAACGCCTGAGCTCTTTGTACAATCTCGGGATCGAAGGTGACTGTACAATGACAAAATGTTGCAAGCCAGCGGTCCCTGTACACCGGCAAAATACGTTGGCAGCTGTACACTCCACTGACTACCATCTTCATGCCATCAAGCAATGCACCTGCAATCATGCCTGGAAAGTCACCATGAGAGACAATGGCTGGCACGTTCTCAGCCATCAGAGACATCAATTGCAGCCTACCTGCCATCTTCAAGAGATCAGAAAAGACCTTGCCATCATCTGACCTCATACCACGTTCCGACCCAGCACCAGACCACGGCTGACATGGTGGTGAGGCCATCCCATGAGCAACATTCATGATTCCAAGACCCTGCCAAATAAGTGAATTGGTAACACAACCACAAACAATGACAGACTCCTTCACATCACCTGAAAGGGCACGTTCCAGAAAGGTCTCAGGTTCAATCACATCGCACTGCCAAGCTTGGGCACAAGCACTGGCAACCTTGCTATCACGTTCAATGATCACAGCCGGTTCGACACCGAAGGCATGAAGGGCATAAGACCACCCAGCCAGCCCCCCAAAAAACTCAGCAATTCGAACTTGGCCACGATTCTGACTTGGATGCAGCAACAGGCAGCTGCTACCATCTTTCTTGGCGGTCACATGAATGACACCATTTGCCCAACTAGCTTCAAATTCCAGGAGCGTAGCACTACTAGAGGAAGCAACATGAGGATCCCACTTCCCATCAACCTGCAGCACAATCTCAGTGTTGGGGTGAAGGAGACACCGGAACAACCCAACCTGAAGCCTTTCAACAATGGTGAACTCAATCTTGTCACCTGTCAGAATGCTCCCAAGAGATTCCATGGCAACCTGAAAAGAAGCGTGGGACGATCAGCAGAACCTACCGACCAGCTGGGAGGAATCCCACTTTGAACAACCACGGCTCCAGATATTATGGAACATAAAAAATGTTCCAAACCACCAACCAGTAATGGTTTCAATCATAGCTGGTTATAGCTGGTTGATTCCCCCATTCCGCAATTTCATGACCCATCCCCAAGGGCCACCTGGGCCACCTGGGCCACCTGGGCCACCTCCCGCTCCAAGCGCCGCCGCTTGCCGCGCTTGTTCATGTCGACGGCCCCGCGGCTCGAGCGGCGCATGGGGTGCGAAGGAGTTGTGAAGAGAAATCTTGGGAAACAATGGGAAGGAGTCATGATGTGGGCGACGTGGGTGTCTTTTCTGTTGGTTTCAACTGATGTTTATGTTTTGGTTTGGATAAACTGACAGAGAAAACCAGTGCTTTTGGATGTTTTCTGTACACTGTTCTTTATAGAAAGCAACAAGTACAAGTAGGCTTGAATATCTGGGGATCATGCGGATGGCCACTAAGATTGGAAAACCAACCCAGAAGTTGGAAATCCGCTCATTGGTGGTTGAAACTATAACACAAGTACCTGCAGTGAGCCAATGCACTGGCCTCTATGTCCACTCTGAGTCAGATTGTACCCCCTTTGAAGTGGGTTACATTAGGGTATTTATACATATGTGACATATATCTACATCACATAGTCAAATCCCTCGGAATACAATGTGAGCGAAAACTACAGAGCAAAACTATGTTTCAAGGTGTCGCTGATTTTGTGGCATTGCCCCACAGGGGGAGTCACACTTTGGTGGTGACTGAGCAAGAAATGCTGCAGGGCTGCGTTGGTCCCAAAAAATGAGCCAATGTCTGGCCCCTTTAGGGCCCTAAAAAAAAATGCAGTGATTCTGGGTTCGTCCCAGGAGCTATACCATGCTATACCTAAAATGAAAAAAACATGCTTGTGTTTGCGGCATTTCAATAGGAAATATCATGATACTCCCACGGGTTTTTGGGGGTTCAGCATCCCTTTTTCAACCCCATATCACCCACGCTTCACGTGCCCCGAAAGGTCCCGAGTCCCACAACCTTCCTGGAAAACAAAATCAGTTCCAGTGAGCGAAAGGAAAACCCTGCAGGAATCACCACTGTTTTATGTAATGATTTAGTAATCGACATGGTTTTCCCCATATTCCCCTTTCACTGAACCCAGTGAAATTTCAGAATCAGAATTCATGTTTGAAGATTTGGACACGCCAAAATTGCAAGGAAGTTCTTCAAATGTGCAACATCCATTCCACTTCTTCCATAAATCAAAAAAGGATTTCATACGCAACAATTGTGTAAATTTATGGATGGATCGATGGATGGATGAATGGGTGGATAGATAAACCAATAGTTAAAAAGAAAATAAAGACACACGTAGATGATAATAGATGCAGTTCTACAAAACAAAAACACAAAGAAACAAATATACAAATATGCTGTATGCAGTCTGAGTGGCACGTATTGTCTAAATGATCCCACCCTCTCTGGGGAAATCTCTAGAATCTCCTGTGGATCTAGATGGCCTTTTTGTAAACTGGAGCCCACCCAGCTGTCCACCCAGCTGTCCTGTCTATTGTCCAATGAAATGTACATAACTTCCCAGCCTTTGATTTCTTCTGCATGTCTTGCATGTAGATTTTTTTGATTTCCTCCTGCAGAATGCTGCAGTGGGGGCTGCAGAAGGCCAAATTTCCGGCGCGCCGCAGTGTTTCAAAAACCTCTGGCAGTTCACAACTATCCGGGACAACAGAAAGTGTCTGAGACTCGGGAAAATGGACATGGGTGAAGAAATTGTTGTTTGAAACGGAAAAAATATGAAAAAATCATCCCAGCATCCTCAACGAGAAAGTAGATGAAAAATCAGCCCTTTGTTTTAGACCCCACCTGATGCCATCTACAAAAATTGCCGAGCAATGGCCAAATGATCATCCCATCCTGAGATTCGAAACATTGGTAGAGTAAGACCCCAAAAAAACCCTAAACGTAATTTATCACTAGTTTAGTAGTAATATAGGTTCCTAAATTTTGGTTGGGGTACTATACGTACGTCTGTCTGTCTGTCTGTATGCATGCATGCATGCATAATGAATGAATGAATGAATGAATGAATGAATGAATGAATGAATGAATGAATGAATGAATGAATGAATGAATGAATGAATGAATGAATGAATGAATGAATGAATGAATGAATGAATGAATGAATGAATGACTGAATGAATGAATGAAGGAAGGAAGGAATGAAATGAATGAATGAATGTAATTGTAATTATGTATGTATGAATGTATGAATGAACGTATGTAAATATGTATGTATGTATGTATGTATGCATGCATGCATGTACGTACGTGTGCGTGTAATGTAATGTAATGCAATGTAATGTAATGTAATGTAAATGTAGTGTAATGTATGTACGTACGTACGTACGTACGCGCGTGTGTGTGTGTGTGTGTGTAACATCTGAACAGATGTAAAACTTCCTTGACTCTTGCCGTGTTACTTTTACAGGAAACCTGTTTATATTCGCAGGGGGACTGGAGCCGATTTGCCTATCCAGTCCAACGAAGCTATGGCATTTCGGTGGATGAGTGGTCTGATCAACCACTTGTACCTGCAAAACTCTGTTTGAACTGTTGACCAAGCTGTTACACTGCGTTGTTTCGATTCTACACGGTTGCCACAATCTGTATTGCATGCATCAGAACCTTCCTCAGATTTTCGCCGAAACCATATCGCCGACAGTATTATGATTTTTTGGCATATTTTCGCCGAGATCATGTCGCCGACGAACTTTGGGTCTTTTTGGGAAACAATCGCCGAAACATTATTTTGGATTTTCAACATGCTGGTCAAAACTCTATGGACTCTGGTTTTAACTACGTTTGACAATATTGGATGCCCTACATCGTTTTCGAGAAGTACCTCATATGGCTCCTTTATTAATCTAACGATCTAGGCTGGTTTGCATGTTTCAGGATTCAGTTCCTGCCGGATCATATAATGATCCATTCTTGTCTAGTGTGATTTCCATGGTGGCTCCGACATGGTGCCATGGAGCCAATTGAGGCAACCCTTTTCAGGGTGAGTGATGACTGTCCGGACTACCGAATTTACGAATTTTAAGTTGGTAATTCATCTAAGTAAACTGCAACAGCCGGCCATACTGTTTTTCCAGCCTTTTGAAATTGTCCCGCTGATCTTGTGGTCCCAGGGATTCCTCGCCGATGCGTTTCTTCAACTGTGAAGCCGTTCTGAATTGCCAGAAACCTCCGTTTTTTGGAGCACTTTTACAGCGACATTGCATCATGTTACGACACTTGCAACAGGCAGGCACATGACTTTCAGGTGTGGTGACTTTTTCTCTTGATGGTTATTTGGTGAGGTGCAACATATTGTGCATTTAATTCGTTGGAACTTGGAAGCTGTTTTATGCCATTGCGGCACGACTTGACCACGGTCCCGGTGCAGGGAATAATCGCACGACTTTTTAGGCTGTTAGGGACTGAATCCTGTATGTGATTGTTCACTGTTGTTTTGATCTACTGGAGCGATGCATCCGTGGAACACTCCGCCAACGTCATGGCCTGCTCCACCGCAGCCTGCGAACCCATCTTCGACGTGGCAGCAATCAACGCCGAATGCACATCTATTTGGACATCCCTCGGCCTTGCATCCTACATGGTCATCCTCAGCGTCGCTCATGCCGTCTACATCAACCCCAACATCGTTGCCGTTCACCTCATTGACTTCGGCTCCTCATGCGGTACCAGGCCCACAGCTCGTACCCACCATGCCTTCGCCTTTGGCCCCTGAACCAACTATGGTGCACACCGCTCCGTCGACTTTTCCATCTCCTATGGCACCCACCGCTCCACCCACGTGGCCTTCCCCTCGGGCTCCATCCCCTACATCGACTACACCACCTACATCGACTATGACATCGACACCTTTGCCCAGTTCTCCATACCCACCTCACCACATTCAACCTCCATTACAGATGGACGCATCGACGGTCCCTCCAAATTAATGAGCCTTCACCACGGGCCCCAGCAGTCAAGGCAGCTCCCAGGCATCGCTCTGACAAACGACCGGATCGACCGCGCAGGCCAGCTCCGAAAGCCCCTCCTCACGCTACAACACCGGCACCTACGACAGCACCGACTTCATCCGTGCCACCTGAACTTGCATCCCTGGGTTCCACTGCACAACAACTTGCTGAATCTGTTCGACTTATTCAAGCTCAGCAACAATTGATCATGGATTCTCAACGAGCACAAGAACAACGTCAACTCCTTCTTCAACATGATGAACCTCCACCGAATCCTACACCACCGACACCGCCACCTACAACCACACCACCATTGATCGCCACGCCTCCACCTGCACCGAAAGCCAGACCCACCGAACCGGACGTTCAGGACCTTCGCATTGTCCCAGCTCCAGCCATCGCTCCTCCTCACCAACCACAAGTTCCACCACCACCAACACGCCGACCACGATCCAGCACTCCAAGATCACGTTCCCATCGACCTTCTGTACATTCCCATCACCATCGCAAATCTCCTCAACGTGCAGCTCGACCTCGTTCTCCTCTTCCTCGTTATCGATCATCCACGAAACACGCCAAGGACCGCCGAACCCCATCCCCATACAGACGAAGATCACCGCCAAGACGTCGCTCTCCTGTGGTTCCTCGACGTCATCGATCTCACCCACGCCCACGCTCCGCGACACCTCGTCACCGATCCAGAGGCCGTGAAGTCGTACTTCGACCTGCTGCAAACCCATCCAATCCGAACTACATTCCCACTCCCGATGCTGATGACACCTGGGGCTCATGGAACGAAAGCCACTACACCGACAACTACCACCACCACACTGCTCGACCCAATTCTCCTGCCGATCCACCACTACCGGAACCACCAACCAACCCACCAACCCACACTTCAGCACCACTCGGCGCGGTGTCCTTCCGAGTTCCGGACGGCGACAGTGAAAATTCTGAGGTTGCAGATACAATTTCGATCACCAAGTTTGACACGAATGACATCGACCTCGATGAAATGGTGGAGGCGGCCAATGACCCCCATAGGGTCCGTTGCCTGACTGAGCTTGGCCCCGACCATGTTGTTCCCCTACGCCAATCATTGACTCCGGCTATCTTGCAGCTCTTCAACCAATTTGTGGACGCGATGTTCGAACAGCTGGCTCAACCATACCGTACCGTCAACAACCATCGTATTTACATC